TACAAAAAAACCCCCCCAAAAAAAAAAAAAAAAAAAAAAGAACATGGGAGCTGGCCCCATTGTACAGTGGTTAAAACGCTGTGTCTAGAGAGCCAGACCCCACATGGCCAGCCATGGTTCAAGTCCTAGTCCCAGTGCCTTGAAGAACACAATGAGCATGGTGTTTGGTGCCCAAAATCCCAACAGGAAGGAGAAATGGAGGACAAAAAGACGACAGGACTACCCCCTCATTGAGGGTTCTCTCTCCCTCTCTCTCTCTGGTAATGCATGTACCCTTTGGCAATAAAAAGAAAAAATAAAGATAAAGATGATTATTAAAAAAAAAAAGAAGAAGCAAAAAAGAAAAAAGGAGCATGGGAATAACATTAAAAACATCGGACAATACAAAAGCACAAGAACACTACAATAACTACCTACCCGAAGGTCATTTTAAATATCTTATTAGAATTCCAAAATCGTAAAACTTTGAGCGGATGCGGCACCAACCTTGAAGGACCTGGTTGAGGAAGTTCTTCATCATGTACATGGCTGTGGTGTCTTCCGTCTTCACGTGACTGTCTGTGAACCAGCCATTCTCAGCGATCAAGATTCGGGGGTTGCCGTATTCCAGTTTAATCCAGTTCAGCACGCCTCTTAAATTGAGTGACACGTTTTGCCCCTTCTTGGCCATGGTGTTTGGGGGCTTGAAATTATTGGGCCCGAAGGAAAAGGCGAAGAAGTCCGCGGTGCCTCTCACGTCCTTCTTCTCTGCTTCCGAGAAAACCGGGAGAGTGGAGCGCAAGTCCTTTCTCAGGACCTCTGGGTAGTCGCCATCCCCATGAATAGGACCAGCGAACCAGCCCAGCACCGAGGCCATGGATCGCTGGCAGTCCAGGGTGTCCATTGCGTTTTCCCTTCTGTTGGGCTCAATCCAATGGGATCCCAGAGTGATGGAGAGCCAACCCTTCTGACGTGGGCGGAAATGGGCGTTGTAGTTATGCCAAACTTTCGAATGAGCCTAATAAGGAGAAAATATTGGGACCAGCAGTTAGCATAATGGCTATGTTGCTGGACTCCCATGTAGTCGGCTGTGGTTCGAGTCCCGGACCTGGTGGTTTAAACTCACGCCGGGCGCGTGTGCATGCATGCCCAAGATCCCAAGAGGAGAATGGAGGAGAAGGGATTGCAGCGTGGCCATCCTCCCTAGGGGGTGATTTCTCGCTTTCTGTCTTTCTGTCTCTCTCTGACTTTCTGGCAAGTGCATGCACCCTATAGCAAAAACCTCTCCATAGCATAGGCTATCGAGGTATGTAGGGTTATCTTTGCTCTGGGCTGAAGACAGCCAAAAAAAAAAAAAAAATTATTATTGCTCTTGAGTATCTTTACCAGGATGATCACGTGACTGGTAGAACATCCTCTCATGGATATAATTAATCAAACAATGATGTAGGGGAAGCTGCCAGGGAGCCCTGATGACCTTAAACTGCTCTCTGTCCACTTCTCGACCTAATTATTGATTTATTTATTAGGTTTTGTTATAAGGCACATGCACTCACCAGAGAGAGAGAGAGAGAGAGAGAGGGAGGAAAAGTGGAAATTCGCCTCCCAGGAGGATGGCCATGCCACAATTCCTTCTCTATTTTCCTCTCAGGATTTTGGGCATGCACACACCTCCACCCAGTGTGATTTTCAAGCGACCAGGTCCAGGACTCTTAACAGTGAAGTCAGCCATGTGGGACCCAGTGCCTTAACCACCACGCTATCTGCTGGCCCTCAACCTAAAATTTCTACAGGGCTGCTAAGGGGTGCAGAGAGCCCTTGTCCAGGCTCTGCGTCGTGTCTCCTCTGCCTGGCTCCGCTCCTGGGAGTAGAGTGCAGGCGAGAGCCCACTCCTAACTGGGAATTTACCAGTCCCAACAGGTAAAAACTAAGGTGGGAGGAAGTTTCTTTAAAGTGGATGGTCTACTGCATAATTTCAAGCTCACGTAAAAGATGCCCTGTGATAAAAATCTTGGTCACATCAGCATTTGAATGAGAAACAGTGCAGCTTAGAAGAACACAGACATGGGGCACCGGCAGTTGGCCTAATGGCTATGTTGCTGGACTCCCATGTAGTCAACCACAGTTTGAGTCCTGGACCTGGTGGCTTAGACTCACATTGGGCATGTGTGTGCGTGCATGCCCAAGATCCTGAGAGGAGAATGGAGGAGAAGGGATTGTGGTGTGGCCATCCCCCTGCGGGGGGATTTCTCATTTTCTGTCTCTCTGTCTCTGTCATTCTGGTGAGCACACACGCCCTATAGCAAAAACCTCTCCAGAAAAACAAACAAAAACGACAACAAAAGAACACAGACATGAACCTTGCGATACCTTGCCAAGCGAGTCTCCTGGATATACACACGCGTGTGTTGTCACTCCCCAAGGTGACCTTAGTGTTCCCGTGTCTCTTTCACCTTTGCTGCTGTTTGCATAGGCTGTCGAGGTATGTAGGGTTATCTTTGCTGTGGGCTGAAGACAGCCTCCCGGTTCCCTGTGGGGGAGGCTCTCGTGCAGCGCTCACAACGATCCCATGTGTGGAGTGACAAGGTAGAGACTTTGGCCCTGGGATAGGGAGGCTGACCCAAATCTTGACAAAACAGGAATAACTACATCTGCTCTTTGGTCTGACGCTCAGAAGGGAAGTCTGTGGGGAACACTAAGGGGGGGTTGGCAGGGAGTGCACCCCGGGCCCTGCGACCTTGTACAACCACCACTCCACGGTTTTCCAAGGTTGTCCCTATCTTGTACAAGGCCATCTACCTTTGGAATGATTGATTGAAGAGAGCTTCAACCTTTGTTCTTTCGAATCAGTAGCTTACAGGGTAGTCCGTGGCTTTTTCCTTTGGAGCCAGCTATCAGGGCCTGGTGTCATTGAGAGACAGCAGGGGGAGGGGGGTCACTCATATCTCACCCCGTTCTCTTCTCCTGTCTAACGTGGCAGTTCCTTTGAAGCCCTGTTAAGTCCAGAGTCATATCATTGTGCGGATGGTAGGAAGCAGATAAGAGCAGGCACAACTTTAGAAGCAAACATGACGCAGGGGTTAGAGGTCAGGAAGATGTGGTGGAATGTGGATGGGAAGGATGGGTTGAAGACAGACAAACAGATCTAACACGCCATGGATGGATGTGCAAGGAACCCAAGCGTTTGGCCAGAGCTAGAGTTCGAAATCTCAGCGTGGTCTTCATGACGTTGGCTGGACTCTCTTCCTGTGGGCTGTAAATTTGGCTGTTGTTAAATCCACTGAAGATATTTTAAAACCCATTACAGGTCACCCAGTGGCGTGGTGTTCATGGCAGCTGGATCTCATGGGGACTGTGCAGTTCGAGTCCTGGACCTGGTGGCTTGAAAAACACACCAGGAATGTATGCTTATACATGTGCCCAAAATCTTGAGGGAGAAATGGAGGAGAGGGGATTGGGGCATGGCCAACCCCAATGATGTGTGCTTTCTCACTTTCCTTCTCTCTCTCTCTCCCCTTCTTCCTCCCTTCCTGGCAAGTGAATGTGCCTCTGGTAAAACAAAACCAAAAAATAACCAAAATTGCGCTAAAAAAAAAAAAAAAAAAAAAAAAAAAAAAAAAAAAAAGTATTTTATTTTATTTATTTTTTAAAAAGAATTGTTTAATTAAATTAATTAATTATTTTAACTTGACCAGAGGGACACAGAGCATGGTGGTAAGGGTGCTGGATCCCACATGGCCGACTGCAGTTTGAGTCCTGGACCTGGGAGCTTGAGAAACATATTGAGCATGTGTGTGCGTGTGTGTGCATGCCCAAAACCCTGAGAAGAGAAGGGATTGTGGCATGGCCATGTCCTCACCCACCCTGGGGAGGTGATTTCTCCCTTTCTAATTTTTTTTTAATAATTATTTATTTTATTTATTCATTCATTTATTTTTTAATTTGAGCAGAGAGAGTTAGAGGGTGATAATGAGAGAGAGAGAGGAAGTGAGAAAGTAAGCCACCAGATCCAGGATCTCGAACGCTGGTCGGCCATGTGGGAGTGACCAGCGCCTTAACCACCATGCCACCTGTTGGTCCCCTCCCTTTCTATCTCTCTTTCGTTGTCTCTCTCTGGTGAGTGCACTTGCCCTAGGGGGAAAAAAAATCAAAAATAAAAAAAAACAGCAACAAAATAAAAAACTCCACAATCATGACAAAATGTCTTCATATTTTTGAGTCCCCTTCTAGATTTTCCAACTGTATTTCCTAGTTAAATTAACTTCAAGCATTTTCCACATTGTTTTTAGTCTTCATAATTATCTGAACAAAACTACAACAAGTATAAGAATTCACTAAATTGGGGGAACCAGCAGTTAGCATAATGGCTATGTCGCTGGACTCCCACGTAGTCGACCGTGGTTCGCGTCCTGGACCTGGTGGCTTAGAACTCACGCTGGGCACGTGTGCGTGCGTGCCCAAGATCCCGAGAGGAGAATGGAGGAGAAGGGATTGCGGCATGACCATCCCCCCTGGGGGGTGATTTCTCGCTTTCTGTCTCTCTGTCTCTCTCTGTCTGTCTGGCGAACACACGCGCCCTATAGCGAAAACCTCTCCAAAAAAAAAAAAAAAAAAGAAAAATAAAGAATTCACTAAGTTGAGACCAGTGGTTAGCGTAATGGCTATGTCGCTGGACTC